CAGGAGCCAACTGCTCCATGGATCTGCCAGGAGAAGAAGCCCCAGCAAATGATTTTGCCACTCAAATATGGGACAAATAATTTTGTTCCAGAACAAGCCCAATAATATTTAGTAGAACACAAAAACATCTGACACCCAACAAGGGTAAAGCTCAAATGGCATGCATCTGATATCATTTTCCTTATATGCAAAGAAGAAGATAATGTGAACAATATCCAGAAAAACATCAATTAATAGGGAAAACAAACAGAATCAATGGATAAGATAGAACCTACTGTAAGAGCTATCAAGTGTTCTTTACATATTTAAGAAAACAGAGGCTGGGCTCCTGACTTATGCTTGTAATCCTAGCACTGTGGGAGGCTGAGGTGGGCAGATCATTTGGGCTCAGGAGTTTGAGACCAGCCTGGGCAACATGAGAAAACCCCCTCTCTACAAAAAATACAAAAAAAAGTAGTTGGGCATGGTGGTGTGCACCCGTAGTCCCAGCTACTTGGGAGGCTGATGTGGGACAATGGCTTGAACCCAGGAGTTTGAGGCTGCAGTGGGCTGAGATCATGCCATTGCACTCCAGCCTGGGTGATAAATAGGACAATAAGCAGAAAACTGGAAAATATACAAAAGTGTCACAAGGAACTTTAGCTATAAAAAATACAATATCTGAAATTTTAAAAAGTGCTGGATAGACTTAACACAAGATTAGTTATTATAGAAAAACTGAACTGTGAATTTAAAGACATTGCTATGGAGACATTCACAAGGATGATTGTAGAAAAAAAAGTAGGTTAAGAAAAAAGAGAACAGAGTGCCAATGAGCTGCAAGATAAACCATGCTAGAGAGAAGAGGGGAGAAAAAAAAGAAAGTTGAAGAAATTAATAGCTGAAACTTCTACAAATTTGATGAAAATCATTAGTCTAAGCATTGAAGAAGCTCAGGAAATGCAAAAGGAAAAAAAAATGATGGGAAACCACAACAAAGCACATCATTACAAAATTGCTGAAAACCAAATATTAAAAAAAAAACCAAAACCTTAGAAGCAGCCAAAGAAAACACACACATTCATACAAAAACAAGAATTACAGAAGACATTCTTGTCATACAATATGCAAACTAGCAAGCAGCAATCATTCATACATAAAAAGCTGAAGGAAATATTGTCAATTTAGAATTCTTTACAAATAATTTCAAAATTGAAAGAAAAAATGACTTTTAGACAAATACATCAAGATAATTTATCATCAGAAGAATTTCACTACACGAAATATTAAATAAAGCTTTGTAATAAGAAGAAAATGGTGTAAGATAGAAATTTGGATCTGTGCAAGGGAACACAAAACATTGGAAATGTAAATATAGGCATAAGTATGAAGGACTTTTTTCTCATTTTTAAATAGTGCTTTAAGTATAATCTCTTTAGTATAATTTAAATATAATTGTGGAAAGCAAAAATATTAACAATTTTTAGTAATATTTAGAGCATATACACAAATAAAATATATGGCAAAATGGCACAAAGAATGTCAGGGGAGATATTTAAATATTCTGCTGTAAGAATCCCTAAACTATATAGTCTAGTGTTGTTTGAAGGTAGATTGTAGTAAGTTAAAAATACATTATAATAAAGTCTGACACAATCATTAACAAATAAAAAGAGTTAGCTCAAATACCAATAATACTGATAAAGCAGAACTATATAATAATGCAAGCATTGCAAAAGAATCCAGTGCCAGGACAATAGGAAAAAATAATCAAATTAGAACACAAATATCAGCCAGGTAGATTTAAAACCAATTATATCAAGAATTACAGTAAATGTTAATGGTTGAACACTTTAAATAAAAGGCAGAGATTTTCATATTAAATGAAAACTTAGGCATGACTATAAGCTTTCTACAAGATATTCACTTTAAGTGTAAAAACACAAATAGGTTATAAATAAATAGATGACAAATATATACCATGCAAACATTAATCAAAAAGAGATAACTATATTAATATCAGATTGGCTATATCAAAATCAGTGCACCTTTTAGAACAAGAATTCCATTATTGAGGATGAAAAGAGACATTATTTAAGCTAAAGGTGTCAGTTCAATATAAGGATATAACAATTATGTGTATGCATCTCATAACAGCTTTGAAGTACTGGAAGCAAAAACAAATAGGACTGAAAAGAGACGTAAACAAATCTACAATTATAGTTGTAGAGTTCAACATTCTTCCTCAATAATTGATAGAACAAGTAGACAGAAAATCAATAATGTGAAGAACGTGAACAATATTATCAACAAACTTGATCTTAATGATGTATACAGAAAATTCTACCCCATAACAGTATAATGCGAATTCTTTCACTTGCCATGGACCAAATTCTGGGCAACAAAGCAGGTATAAATAATTTTAAGAGAATAAAAATTATACCAAGTTGTATTTCTGATCCAATTAATTACATATAATAAATTATATTAATTAACATTTTGATTTTCTTTAATTAAGTCATTAAATAATAGTGACAAAAAGAAATCTGAAAAAAACAAAATATTTGAAAATTAAATGGCACGTTAATCAAAGAAATCACAACATACTAAAATTTGTGTAATGTAGCTGAAGCAATGTTTTTAGTGCGGTATAGTTTGAATGTTATGTATCCCTCAAAAATTCTTATGTTGCAATCTATTACCAAGGTGATGGTATCAGAAGGTGGGGCCTCTGGGAGGTGATTAGGGTATAAAAACTCCACCCTGATGAAAGAGACAAATGCCCTTAAAAGAGGGCTGGAGGATACTAGGTAGGTGCTTAGGCCCTTTCATCTCTACTGTCATGTGAGGAAACACCAACAAGGCACCATCTCGAAAGCAAAGAGCAGCCCTCACCAGATACCCAACTTGCTGGTGCACTTGATCTTGGACTTTCCAACTTCCAGAACTGTGAGAAATGCATTTCTATGTGTTTATAAATTATCCAATCTCAGGTATTTTGCTACAGTAGCACAAAAAGACTGAGATAACATGCTTATATTAGAAAAAAACAAAGGTCTCAAGTGAAGCCCTTTCTTCACTTTTCTTTCCCTTAAATCTTCCTACTTAAAAAAGATAGAAGGAAAATTCAATCAAAACAAAAGTAAGTTGAGAAAAGGAATATTGGAAAAACAAATCAATGAATACATTTTTGAAGTATAAACTAGCAACACCTCTCCAGGAGAACTTGCTCTTTGAATCACAGTGACAAGTATCTGATTCAATCATTAGTGAACATTTTGAACTTCAAAACTTGTCCAAAAATAAGTGCTCAAGTTGGAGGGGACATTAAATGAATGAAATGACTCATCAATTGTTCCCTGAGTGATCCAAAATTAACCCAGAACTGTGAGAAGGGCCACAGAGAAGTACTGAAGTTCACTTTAGGTGCATTTGGTAGGTACATTTGGAAAAGAGGATTCTCTGAGTTGCTTAACTTCAATCAAGGTTTTAATTTTCGATGGTGAATTTAATTACTCATTTTATAATGGTTAACAATCTGGCGTCTTTAAAAACAGAGTCTGCTTGTTAGGTGTGTTGCTTGATTTCACATGAACCTATAAAACAAAATTTAAAGCTCACGGCCATTTAGCTGAAACACTTATGACTGAGAGGACTATTTGTGTTGTTTCCTTAAGTAAAATTTGGGAATTTTGGCTGTTGTCATCAGAGACTGTTTTATCCTAAAATTTATTAAATACATACATACTTCACTTTAACAAAAGGAAGCCTCTGTTATATTTGAAAGTAACTTAACTTTGCAGTTCATATATTTGGAACTATTCTAGGCACATATGAAAATAGAAAATATATTTTTAAGTCAATGGAACAATGAATAAATATTTTTGGAAATTCTCCAGCTCTCAGCTTGCAATTGTAATTCCTAGAGACTACAGGTGATCATTTATGTTTCCTAGAGGCAGACTTATGATGGATTAATTCCTATAATTCATCATTTTTCTCTTCTCCCCATCTGTGTCATGCATCATTTCTACACTTGATTGCAGAACTTCTGGTGCTGAATTTTAGAAAATGTATAGTTTTGCGGCTATTTGCTGTACCAGATGATTATGTGTATTGATGTTTTTTTTTCTCAAGACTCTCAGGGTTCTTTTTACAAAATTTGGCATTTTCACTCAACCACTTTTCTTCATGTTTGGAAGCTTCACACTGAGATATTTTAAAATACTGAAAGCAAATTTTGAATTTCCATTTTTATAAAGATGTAATTTTGTGTTTCACCTAGGATAATCATGGATAGTTTTCTCGCAGAGGAATAGTTGGAAATATACGTAAATGCATTTTAAAATAACTATACAATTAAAGAGTTTTTCCTGTGACTTGTTTGATGAAAATCTACATCATTTGTTGCATTAGTGGAAACCTATCATGTAAACATCTTTAGATCACCTCCACCAGCTATCATGTATAAGCATTCATTAAGGAAGAACATTTCTTTCAAATTTAGATATTAATTGCCATGTGACTTAGTTTCCTCAAAATATTAACTTTATAATAGGGGGAAGAAGGGAGAAAGCTGGGGTGGTCTCCTGCCCTCTCCTCCAGCCTGAGGATCTGGGAACAGAGGTGATGCTAAAGAGTAGGGTGACAATTGGGAGGGAGTAGGCATAGCCACTAGGATGATTTTGGTTCAAAGTAGCATAAATTGTAGCGGACTTTTGATCTTGCATATCAACCAGTCCTAAGGAAAAGAGGCTTCTGGCAGAAGGACCCAGCTTTGCCTCTCTGCTCAGCTGCTGTTCTCATTCTTCTGGAGCCAGCATCCCTGCCTTGGCTGGCAGTAAGTGGGCAGCAGCTCCAATGTTACATTCCAACACATCCCAGAGGAAGAAAGAGACCTTCTCTTAAAAACAAGGACACTTTTCATAGGAGCCCCTCGTGTTTCACTGGCCAGAATTGATTTACAGGTTGGACAGTAGCTGTACCAAATAAAAATGCTTGACAGAAAGTTTGGCACTCACCTGGAATTTCAGCTGCCACTCTGGAAGACAATCGCTGTAGGCTCAGACTCAGGCTGCAGCGTTCATCTCAAGCACATGCCTTTCTTTGATTTTTCTCTGCAGACTTCTCTGAAGCCTCACTCCCTTCCCCAGGAAAAATGTCAGCCAACAGGGATTTTGTAGAAAATGGACACTTGCAGGAGGCACCGGCATCTGTCTCAGCAGTCCCAGGGGAATCAAACTGTGCTATCCACATAATGAACCTTGCTGTGGGCTTGGCTGTCTTCTCTGCCTCACTCTCTTCATTCCTCCCACCTCTTGCAGCGCGATCATTTCCCTAACAAAGTATGTGATTAAAGCTCTTGTCTCAGGCTCTTCTTAAGGGGGACTCAAGCTAAGAGGCAGGGTTACCACCCTCAATTCCTACTCCCATGATGCAGGATACAGTTCAAAATGGAAGGTGGGACTCTATATGTCTTTGAGATTTTGAAGAACTCATTAAGTTTGTATGCAATCGGGTCAGGGCTGGAGTGGCATTCAGGGTACACTGCCCATCTTCAGGAGTGCTACTCACATCTATAGGACATTTTAATACCCCTTGGAATTATTCAATTTACAATCTCATGACTGTATACAGTGGCTTTGGAAGGACAAGGATTGGAGTGAGTCGTCTCTTCCAGGTACATTTGAATATTTGGGGCTACCGCAAGAATCCTGTCATTCTATTGGATGCTCAGTTACACACTCACTGTGAAGCCACTGATGGTCAACTGTCTTTCTCAATAAATGACTGACTTTTTTCAGTTTTTGATTTGGATGACTCACTTTATCACATTTGCTGCGGATCATATCCAGTTGGAGTAAAACAGATTTCTAGAAGCACATTAGGGTTTGTCTTAACAGTAGGAAAACTACTCTCTTGTATCCTTAGTGACGTTATTTGACGCTAAACAATACCTAGTTCATTGTATCACTTTAGAATCTTCACAGAATCCCTTTGCCAGCAGGTACTGGTTTTCAGGTCTTTCAGTTTGACCACTAGGAGTCATATGTGGTTATTTGTTCTGATCAAGAAGATTCCTATTTATTCTATGTTCCATCTTGATATCTTTGAATATAGCTTTTGACAAACTATTTTTGCCTTTTATATGAGATTGCAATAGAGGATTTCGTTTTTGAGATACCAACACTGTTTATGTGTTTAGAATGCTTTGATATATCTGACCCAGCGTTCACTTCTATGGTTTAATATGTCTGCTAAACTTTTGAAAGAGACTCGATGTAACAGCATATAGAGAAAAAATTCAATTACCCAGCATAAATGTTCAGAATTTTTCTTCCTTTCATGTATTGTATTTTTCAACAATTAATTTGCAATAGTTTTGCAATAATATAACAGTTTATGTTCTATATGAGTTTATCTTCAATTTATTTCCTAGTTATTGACAATTCCTTAGTGTTCCTGTCATTGTTAGTTGAGCAGACCTGAACATATTATATGAGAACCTAAGGGTTTAAGTGAGTTAAGTGTTGTAATAAAAACTGAAGTAATGAGAAAAGGAAGGGAAACTCACACCAAAGTGCTCTGAATGTGAGACCTTCTGCCAGAAACGCAGGCATGTCACTGACTTTGAAACTCACAGTGCCTTTGGGAGGGAGGGACCATCACCCCTTTTGCAGATGAGGAGATTGCGATGCAGAAACAACACCTGGTTTGTTGTACAACTTGATATTGGCAAACAAAATATCAAATACATGACTCCAAAGTAATAAATGACCTAGACTTTTGGTTAGTTTCTAGATAAAAGGTTTCCTTCAAAGCAAAGATGCTTTGTGGCTGAAGATCTGTAAACTGCTGCTGCTAGAATACGCGTATCTATCATGTTACCAAATTTATATGATTTTTCTTTTTAAATAATAATCTTAGGCATTTAATTGAGAGGATACATTTTTTTCTAAGCAATTCAAAGAAATTCAGTGCATTACTCAACCTGTTTACCTTCTCGGTGGACCTAAGTCCACAAGACAGAAGCTGGAATAAATAAGAAAAGCTATGTGAGAAAGTACACTTCTTTTCTTGTTTCTACTATAAGTAAATAGATTGACTCTGCAGCAACAACACTGCTGTAAAGTAAACTTCCACGAAGGCAGTTGGGGAAAAATACCCTAAAACCTCAACTAGAGCAGTCTTATTGGAGAAAATGTAAAGTTCTCCTGGATGAGAAAACTGTTCTTGTGTTTATTTCATAAGCTTTAAGTCAGTCAATACAAACACTAATTGAAAAACAAACATGTTACCATTTTGAAGAGCTTAAGCAGTTTCATTTATAATCAGAATAAAACATATGCATGTCTGCATTTGAGATGTATTACACTCTTAACATCATTTTCGTTACATTAAAATTGTATGGATACAATTATTAATGCCAATAAGCAATGAACATGTATGATGCAGCACTCTTTCAGCTTTCTTGGTACTGAAAAGCTCTTAGAAACTAAAGGGCAAGAAGATCAATTCCGTTCATGTCATTCCTGTGGTTTCCCAGCAGAAGAGATAATTGTTCATGCAGCTGTAGACTGCATTTGTCAGACACCCAGCCACAGTACAGAAAGTGACATGCTTTAGCAAAGAATAAAGTTACCACATTTGATTATGTTTTGCACCAGAACATGCAGATGTTCATGGTAATTACCATAAATTACTTTCATATTTATTTTTTAAAAAGTTTTAAACTTGAGCATGTAAAAAGTCAATAAATATATTACATATATGTGTGTGTATATACATTTATACATATATAAACATATATACATTTATATATAAACATATATGTATGCATACACTTAGTATGTATGGACTAAGATAGTTCTTGGTCTAAGGTTAGTTAAGGCAGACCAGGAAAACATTATCTCCAGTCAGTAATAGATTATATGAGAGCTACCACAATATCTTCGCCAGTGTGAAGAGAAAGAAATCTAATTGCAGTTCCTAACAACAGACATCTCCTTGGATCTAGGGTAGTGTCGGACAAAGCACCTTGTAATTCTCTTTCTTTCTCTGAATTTCCCAAAGCTATCTGGGGTGTGTAGTTTTTGCATCTCACAAAAACAGGCTCTGCAGCATCACAAAACCATCGCTCAGCCTTGCAAACCAAAGGATGGAGGTGTTGCAAAGGTCAACTGGAAAGATCAGTAGGAAGAGACTGAGCCAGACCTTCTCATGCTGAGCTTCTCCACCAAACACTTGCCAATGTCTCTCGCATTCATTCTGTGGAGCCAGCACCGGTGAAGGCGAGTGAAGGAAACACTTGACAGGCATCAATGCTCAGTCATTCTTACAGAAGTAGGAAGAGCAGTAGCGGGCCTTTTGAAAAGAGCTTGCACAAGTGGAACTTTATGTGATAGTTTAAAGTGTTAAAAGAAATATAACCCGCAAAGGCAAGAGCAAAACAAAGCCATAATTTGGGATTTACTCCGTCTGAATTGGTACCAACTCTCTCTGACATCATAGAATTACCTGGTCCACACAGCATGGCAGGATCATTCTATGTTCTGTACCTTTGTGTGGACTCAGTGTGGAGAGCTCCTTCCAGTTTTCCTAAACCAAATATAGTGAGCAGAATTAAGCAACCTAAAGTTTCTGTCAGAGATTACATGTTAAAACTGAGGAATTTCTGTGCTAGGTCATCCATATGCTAACACTTCAGAAAGCTATAGATTTCTGTAACCTTCCAGGATTGCCTCCAGAAATGCTCATTAAAAAGAAGAATTCACATAATTCATAGCATCTAGTCTATTCATCTAATGTATTCAGGAATCTAGTGTTTGCAGAGCCTTGTGTATGCAGAGCATTAATGTTTGTAGAGAATTTAGTGTTTGCAGTTTACTTTCTCTATGCAGAGCATCTAGTACCTGCATTTGTATTTGCAAAGCATTTAGTGTTTGCAGAATATTTAAGACATCATGTTAAGTGTTCTTACAAAAAATGACAATAAGACATAAAAAGGGCAGAGGAAAACTTTTGGAGTGATGTTGTTTTTGGTATTGATTCTGGTGATGGTTTCATAGGTGTATATTCATATTAAAACACTTAAAGTTTTACATATTAGGTATGTACAGCTTTTTATACGTCAATTATATGTTAGTAACTTTTTTAGAAAAGAACTTTTAGTATTTATAAAAGAACTTTTAATGTCAATGTGTCTTGACTCCAGACTCTGAGCTCTGGAATGTGGGCTGAGAGTAGGGAGCAGGCTCCTCACCATGACCGTCTTTCCACTTTCCAGCCCTGCACTGGACGTAAACACGTGGGCATACTCTGCATGGAGGTGCTTTTTGTATTTGGAGTGATCACCCCATACAGGAGGCAGATGTGGTGCTGGCCATTCTGTATGTGCACAGATAATGGGATGCACGGGAGACAATGAAAAAAATACTAAACTCACAATGCAGGATGGATTTTCCTGTGCAGGAGAAACTAGATAAAACTCTTCACATAGGCACGCAAACACTGGGAACATATAGAAGAGAAACATTTATATGGGCTAGCCGTGGTGGCTAACGCCTGTAATTCCAACACTTTGAGAGGCCGACGTGGGCAGATCACCTGAGGTCAGGAGTTCGACACCAACCTATCCAACATGGCAAAACCCTATCTCTACAGAAAATACAAAAATTAGCTGGGTGTGATGGTGCACACCTGTAATTCCAGCGACTCGGGAGGCTGAGGCTCGAGAATTGCTTGAACCTGAAAGGCAGAGGTTGCAGTGAGCTGAGATCGGCCACTGTACTCCAGCCTGGAAGATAGCGCGAGACTCTGTCTAAAAAATAAAGAAAAGAAAAAAAAAAACAGAAAAAATGTAAAGTGGCATTAGAACTATTGAGTCAACAAATATTCTCTCTCTCTCTCCCCCAACCCAGGTAGCTAGATAGATACATACATGCATATATAACATATTTCTATTGTTTAAAGAAAAAGTGAACCACGATATTTTTGAAAAAAGACCCATCCTATGTATTACAGATTCTCTCTCATCTGGAACCCTTGGGACCAAAAATGTTTCAGATTTCAGATTTTTTAGGTT